AGAGCTGCGTGTGCTGCCCGGAGCCCTCCCCGCGCCCCCGGAGCCGGTTACTCGCCCTGAGGGGCCGTGGCCTCCCCTTCAGCGCGGAGCTGGGGGCGCGACGCCCGCGCAGAGGGAGATTGTAGAAACGTTAATGACGTTTCCGCGCCTGAAACCCCCCCGCGCCCGAAAACCGCGGGTCGTAGCAACTGTGGGCGGTAAAAATCCTTTGCCAAAGGGGGAACGCGGTCGGCTCGCAGGCACCGTGTCTCATCTTGCATCTCTGCAAAGGCGGCAGCAAGTCTTCCCCTTCTAGTAGTGGTTTCCCCAAGAAGAGCCATGCCCTGTACCTAAAACTTAATCTGGCTTCACCTTCCAGATAATTAGGAAGAAGTGTGCTGGCCATTGTGCACAGAGTGTAGAGTTTTCAGCAATAAGGAGTTTCCGTTTTTTCTGGTATAGGTAGCACAGGCTCCGGGGGAGCGGTACATGATACACAGAGACCTGTTGTGTTGCTCACAACAGTTGTCAAAAGCTCTGGGAGGTCACAGCTGCCCAGGTTTGTGCTCTGCGCTCAAGGTTGTGATAAAAACTTTTTTTTTTTTTTTTTGCATTTGTGGGGACAAATACAGAGAATGTACCGGCTTGGTTTTAAAATACTTCTGGATATTCTTAGGTTGGCATTTTAATTATCACTAAACTGTGCGGCAGATATGATAAAGGAAGGGTAAGGACCATTTCCAGCAACTAAAATTTTTAATCCTCACTGTGGATGTCCTCGAGCTAGCAGGGAAAGCTCCCCAGGGCGCTGCAGGCCTGGGCTGGTGGCCTCCAGATGGCCAGCTATGCATTCATTTCCACAGACCTGCAGCCGCTCACCCAAGACATAGGACAGCGAAAGGCCCAGCCAGCCCGTGTTCCTTGGCCTGGACATGGGCCAGAATCATCAGTAGGAGCAATCAGCCTCCATCACCAACTTGCTAGCCCAGATTGGCCTTTTACCTAATCCAGATGTTAGACGACTGATTTCACTAGGTGACAATCCTGCTGGCCTCTCTGGGCAGCTGTTGGCCTAAGGCAGTTGCCTATTTTGCTTTCTCAGAAGACAAGAAGAACTGGGATTCCAGGGGAGACAAGTTTCTCAGCAGCATACTAGACTTTAAGCTTCTATTTAAAGAATTAGTTTGTGGTTAAACACTAGCTAAAAAGTTCAGAAAATTTGCTTCAGTTTCTGCTCAGCCAAGATTCAATTTGGGAAGGCTCTGAGCTTTTCTGCACCTCAGTTTCCCAACTCCATTATGGCAGTGGCATTCCGTGCATACCAGAGGGTATTGTGAAAATATAGATATTAGAACTTGCAAGTTGTGTAATTAGAATGATAGTGCTATATAAATAATCATACACAGGTTAACTAAGAAGTAATAGGGCCTGTGAGATGGTGTGTTGAGGAAAAGGAGAGAACAACAAAATATTGAAAAAAATCCTCCAGTCACTTTCAAGTAATCATGATTTAACTGTTCTTCAAAAGCATACAGTGTATACTTGGAAGGGGCTAGTTATATGTAAGTGAATTTTCCCAAATATGAGTTCTTGCGATAGTCGAGATAACATATCTAGACACGGAGCACAAAAAAGAGAGAGATTGTTGCTTTCAGAACATAAGAGTATTTCTGGATCATACAGGGACAAAATGCTTCTTATATATGTTGGAGAAAGTAAACAAGACTTTTGTTTTTTGATTCATTTTTTTCAAACCATACTCATAGAATGAAGATCATGCATATTTGAAGGGTCCTACAGAGGTCATCTAGTCTAGCCCACTGCTCAAAGCAGGGCCAGTTAGAGCAGACTGCTCAGAGCCTCCCTGCCTGCAGTTCTGAATATCTCCAAAGCAGAAGATTTTGCAGCCAGTCTGGCTGCAGTCTGGCAGGAAGATCGTTCACCTTCTTTTCTATCCCTGTTTCAGTGTTTAACAAGTCTAAATGATGTTTTTTTTTGTATGGTTTTTATTTTCATTATGTCAGATATTCCCATGTTCAAATTTGTATCTCTTGCTTCTGGTGCATCTCTGAGAAGAGTCTGTTCTGTCTTCTCTACATCCTCCCATTGGGCAGCTGTAGACAGCAGGAAGATCGTTCACCTTCTTTTCTAAAGGCTGGACAGACGTAGTCCTTTCAGACTCTTCATACATCATGAGCTGTAGTCCTCCGATCAGCTTGGTGACTTCATTCCGGTGTGTCGAGGTCTTTCTTGTACTGGCAAGGCCACAACTGTACGCCAGTACTCCAGATGTAGTGTCAGGAGGGCCAAATAGAGGGGAAGAATCACTTCTCTCAACTGACTGGCTAGTGTTGCTAATAACAGCCCAGTATGTGGTTAACCACCTTTGCCACAAGGGCACACTGCTGACTCACGCTCCACTTGCTGACCATCCAGGTCTTCCAACAGCACTTGCTCGACTTTCTGCACAATTGAGTGAACCACTTTTGTTTTAGAGGAGGTTGTCCTTGAAGATCAATGACTATCCTGGGTCTCTTGCCATCTAGGGCAGTCTGTCACTGGATCGTTCCAAGATTCCCAAGTAAGCCAAAATTTGTCCTCCCGAAATCCAGGGTTGTGGTTCTGCTGTTCATCTTGCTCATCTAAAGATTTTCTGCTCCACAATCTTGTGATGCTGCAGCCAAGGCAACACCTTCCCATCTTTGACCAGATCTTGTTTGCAACAGATCCACCAGAACATCTTCCCAGGCTTCTTTCTTCTTTATTATGCTTTAAGTACCCTATATAAAACAGAACGATCTCCTCCCTCTTGCATTCTTCTGGTGGTGATTTTGGCAATCAGATTGTTCAGGTAGCCCTTATTTTTTTCTGCAAGAATATGCAGCAGTGGCTGCTGAAGAAGGAATGTAAGAAGCAATGGTGGCTTAAGGAGAATAACCTCTTGATCAGAATTAGCTCACAGTTTCTCAGCTGTGTAGACAATACTGAGTTTTGCCATCCCAAAGACCAAGAAGCCAGGCTATGCTGCTGTCAAGAAAAGGGAAAGGACGGTACCTAAAACAGAGAGCCAGCAGGCAGATAGTTCAAGGAGCAGATCCCTGGAAAAGCTTTTTGCTCCCACTGCCACACGGGACATGGGGAAGCCTGGAGAGGTGTTTTCCCCAAGCAGTCAGAGTTGCCCTCAACCTCTCCCCTTGCTCCGTGGTGCAGCTAATGGTGTTTTTAGAGCTGCAGCATTTACAGTGAGGTCCTGGCCTTTTTGCTGCCGCTGCCTTAGACAACAGTTATTTTATCTACATGCAAGATAGTTTTGCTCCTAAATTAGCTGATACCAGTATCCATTTTATGAAAAATGTTCCTTGATATTAATCTTCTACATTTTCTAAGTGCTTAGAGGTCAGAGTTGCTGAAATGACTGGCAAAAGCAAATTTGTAATTTTGTTAGCTTGGTGGGAAAACACAGCCATGGCAACTGAGGTGGATTCTGTTCTGCTTCATGCATTGTCAAGAGCTCTGTCTGTTAAGTAACAATTACAGGGACTGTTTTACTGGTATTTTTATTAAGAGTCTGAAAACACAGCTGGATTTTCAGAGCACCAGTTGAGTTTGTAAGTCTGACAGCTCAAGACAATTTTTTTGACTTACGAGCTGGGCAAATTTAGAAACCATTGAAAGAGCATTAACACAGAAACCCATAGTATCCCGTTTGTATAATGGGAGTGTAACAGCCAGAAAAGGCTGCAGTCTTTCCCCCTCCTTGCTTCTGAAAGATTAATGGGTCAAATCTATAGCTGATTCATGCGCTGAAAGCAGGAAACAGCACACACATTTAAGAAGAGGCATATATTTTATCCTTCTGCTAGAGCTAAGAACCTACCCAGAAATGGAAGGTATACTTGAATCAGAAGATGAGACAGCTGAGTTTACCTAACAGTTCAACACCATTGAAAGAAGGATATCTCATCTACCTCCGTTTTTAAAACTTTGTGTTGTTATGTCTGGTTTTGCACTGTTACCTTCCAGGGGTTCTGCTTTTCATCAGGTAAGCAACGAGCAAGTTCGCTCACTCAGTAACCCAGCAGAAAACTGATCTAGCAAAGTAAATTTATCTTTTTTCTTTAACTAATGAGCCAAAGCAGACATCAGTAACCTCTTCCATGGCCACCAGAACTGGTGTGAGGGAAGGATGGAACAAGAATGAGAGATGGGCAAAGAACAAAAGATCTTCTCATGGTAGTGATGAGCTATTAAACCAGCTTAGCCATCTCCTTCAACTTCCTTGTGTTTATCTTCAAGGTTTATCTTCAAGAATGAAGGAGTTTGACCCAAGATACAGGTCTGTATATGTTGCTCTAGCATCTCTGCTGGCATGGTTACAAACTCTGATGGAAGGGCAACAAAAAGCAGTTAGAGTTAGTAAAGCCTAAACTCAGGCTGTGGTTTCTTAGTCAACAGCAGGTCGCTTTGGCAGTCCCATTCCTACCCATTCAAACATTTTAATACTTGCCCTCCTTTTCTGTGCCAGGAGGTGATTTATAGAGCTGCATGATGAATCATAGAGGTCAAATGATCTGGTTGAATGAAGCAAACAAAATTTCTGGTTTTTGCCCAGTTGTATTAGATCAGTTCCCTTATTTGTTCATTACGTATGAACAGTTCTGCTGGTGCAGTGCAGGGGGCGGCACATGAACCATTGGTGGGAAGAGAGGGAGGTGGGAGAAGGAAAAGTCAGGATTGCTTAAGCCAGGGTCATCACCAAATAAATCCTTGTGGACCCACAGCTCATGTGAGCAGAGCCTGTAGTCCAGTTTAAAGGGACTTTGTTGCCAGAGTAAGTTGTTCTGCCTGCGAAGGGACTTGGTGAGCCAGCAAGGCACATTTAGACTGTAAGAAACATGTTCACAAGGGGATTTCAGACCCCAGTTTATGACAGGAATGTGGAGGATCTGCAGCCTCACACCGATTCTGGGGCAGGATCCAACAGCAATGCAACCTTCATCACCAACAGGGTTCCAGCTGTTGCCTTGGCATGATAGTATCAGCAATAATTAAGGATGTCCTGTGTGATAAGACTTAATGTCCATCCTACTGACCATCCCCGAATGGTGAAGTACTAAATCTATCACCAGAACATCTGAAATTCTCTAATGTTCAGATAAAGTGCGTTTCATTTTCCCTGTCTCTACAGTGAGCAGAAGTATGGGCAACCGCCTGCCTAGAATTTTATTAACATCTTTCCAAGAAACACCATAAGGGTGTTCCCCACCAAGATTTGGTTTCATTTGGGGAAAAATGCAGTGAGTCAGGACCATCCAGAGAAGTCTCATGCTTCCATTTCCTTTGATACCCTGGGCAGACAACTCATGGTTTGGCTCTGTCCTTAACATCAGGGAATCATCTTAAACATGCCTGGTATGTAGGCAATCTCTGGAGAAGTTAAAGAAGTTACAGATTCAGCATTTATTCTGCACGTCTTGTCTGTGTAAGCAGTACTTGGCAAAGAAGTGGCAGATGTGAAAAAGATACATGGATAGCTGAAAGCAATTTTGCCAAATAAGACTTTTGCCATTTTTCTATTTGTAGGTTTTGCCTTTTCCAAGCCCCGCTCTATTTTGTTTTATGATTTACCATGATTTTCCCTTAAATATTTTTCTGTTGAAAGAGCCACAGTCAATGTTAAGCCCAAAGTATTTTCCAGTGAAGCATACAAAGGTAAGATGGCTCTGTTGGCATCATCTCCAGAAGTTGCAATGCTAGACCCCAGTGCAATGCTTAGCTGCAACCTGCAACAAAAGGCAATGATTTGGAAATGCCTCTGAGAGGACTGTCCTTGTTTTTCCTCTCAAACTGAGGATTTCATTAGCTACATGGTTTGCTTGGGAAAGAAGAAGAAGAAGAAAAAAAGTCTGGCACCCTAAGGTTAGTCTATATTTA